TGCACAGGCTCTGGAGATGGGAGTGTCTTCTGCAAAGAACATCCAGGAATCTCAACATCACCAGACTGCAGAGTGCACAGAGGGGAGCAAAACATAAAAAGATTGGAAAAGTAGAAAGAGGCCAGGGTATGAAGGACTTAAAAACCAGAGGGTTTTATATCTGCTCCTACAGGTAACAGCAGGTCTGGGGTTTACTGAACAGGGAGTTCATGGAGTTTACTGATGTGATCAGACTTGCACTTTAGGGAGATCAATTTGACAGGTGAATAGAGGATAGGTGAGAGTGGAAAAGGCAAGGAAACTAACCTGAAGGCTGTTATAACAATCTAGATGTGAAGTGATAAAGGCTTATACTACTGTAGTCACAGTGTCAGAGGAGGGAAGGGGGAGCATACAAGATCAAAATAATTTTTAATGGACCAGTCTATCAATTTACTTGCAAAAATGGGCTGACAAGGACAGGTAGGTGGCACAATTGATAGAGCACCGGCCCTAAAGTTAAGAGGACTTGAGTTCAAATCTGGCTCAGACTCTTACTAGCTGTTAGACACTGAGCAAGTCACTTAACCCCAATTGGCTCCCCCACCTCCAAAAAAAATAGGTTGACATATGTCTTAAAACAACCAAAAATACTTCATTCCTGAAATTTTATACACAAATTTCTCCTTGGTAGAATTAAGCTTCTTGAGGAAAGGTACTATTTGTACTTTGTGTATCCTCATTACCTAAAAAAGCACCTGACACCTAGAAAATACAATATAAGCTTGTTGGATTAAACTGAAATTCCAGATGTAAAGGAGAGAACCCTTAGGCTACCCAGCTGCCTGAAAATCTTTTATGTTTCAAAGATTATATCTTCCGTCACAAGGTCTTTAAAATTCTCTCTCTACTTAAAAATATGCTCTAGCACAAATTAAAATTTGATGCAAAGACTATTAGGATTCCTTACTTTCAAGCTGAAAGTAACTACTACAGTCTTTTAAAACCCACTTCAAAGAAATAGATGGTCTACTTAATAATTATAAATTAAGAACAAAAAAAAAAACTCACTACTTACATCTGTTGGTAGTTCTAATTCTTGTTCAGAATACTGATGATTTACTTCAATTAAATCCTTGGGAAAGTACCCAAAAACACTGCCAACCTGTCCAAAAGAATGAACAAAATGAGGAAATATCAATACACACTGCAGAGAAAGAAAATAGCAAACTTGTAGTAGTTACAAAAACTGTCATGTGTCCTTTTCATTAAACATATAGCTATATCAAAAGTAGCTCACTGCATAGTCACTAAAGGATATGTATATGTATACACACACACATATATATATACACATATATGTACCTATACATACCCAACACCCACATACAGGAAATAAAGTCATCTTATCACCAACTAGTTAAATATTCCACAGTAATAATCTCATTAGTAACATCCGACAACTGTCTAAAAGTCAACATTACTACTGGAATGCTGTTATGAAGATTAGATAGTACAATAAAAGACTGGCCGATAGGCCATTGAAGTCATAGTTTCTAACATATTCCGCCCACCCTCCCCCCCCCAAAAAAGGCTCCAGAATAGTTTAAAAAAATGAGGACCCAAGCATCACTCTAAAAGCTTTTAAAAGAACCTCCTACATTTTCTGAAAGAATTACTATATGATACTTATGAAATAATGAAAAGAGCTCACAACTAGGAGTTAACACATATGGCTTGTAATTCCAATTCTTCTACTAAATAACTTCCACTAACACATACCCTTGGAAAATCACTTAAGGAAACTAAAGCCCAGAGTGGTAATCTGCTAAAGAGAAGGACTGGATAGGTCTGTATGATAACTTTCAGCTTTATACCTCTGCAATGTAAGGAAAAACAAATTTCACTTGTCCAGGTAACAAGCTTTAATGATAATGAGAAAAATAAGGAAAGGAGGAAGTATTTCTAGAAAGGAAAAACAAGTTCTTAAACAAAGAGAATATTTAATATTTACCACTTGAGCATAAGCACAGACAATAACAAACCCTATATTTACAAACTGGGTGGTATCACCTTTCTCAAGAACACTAAATAGAATTAGAGAATGAATAATTTTGCTACAATAGGAAAACTAATGCTTAAGTCAGTCAGTGAATAAACATTTATTAAATGCTTATTATATACCAGGCACTGTGCTAAGTGCTAGGGATACAAAGAAAGTCAAAAGACAGTCCCTGCTCTCAAGGAACCCACAATCTAATGAGGGAGAAAATATGTAAACAACTATGTATACAAACAAGCTGTAGACAGGATAAAATGGAAATAATCAACAGAGGGAGGCACTAGAATTAAGCACAAGCTAACTATTAGGACAGAAGTGAGGGATATAGTTCAATGTTCAATTAGGTTTACAGGTGCGCCACAATGAATTTCTCTCAATGCCAACATTTTTTTCCTTTCCAAAGCTGTACTAGAAATAGAAAGTTTTCCTCAATAAAGCTTACGAGGCTAATATTCTAAGACAAATTCTAGACAAATAAGCATAACTTTCAGGCTACTCTATAAAATATTAAGCAGTAAAAGAGTGGCTCAGTAACATTAATTCTAAGAGTGAAAGAGGTATAATAGAAAGGGCAGGAGAGCAGCCTGACATGTTATTGAGTGAGGAGCTAGTCTTGCTTGAAAATGATCTATCAGTCAAAGTGTAGGTTTCTGCAAACAGTATCATGGCTCCTACAGATGGATTTTGGGGAATCTATTATGTATAAAATGAAATTTAAGGAAAAAGAAATATTTTGGTTTTTAATAAAAAAACATTCAGGTGGTGAGTCATGGTGTATTGGAATGGTAGAAACTCAAGCTTCTCTCTACTGATAGAAAGACAGGAATCATAAGACCATTAGATTCCAGAGCTGGAGAAGACCTTAGTGAATACCTAGCCCTATCTCCCTAATTTTGCATATGAAGAAACCGGGGTCTAGAGATGTGAAATGATTTGCCTGAGGTCATACAAGGAATTAGTGGTGGTCATGAAATTTAAGCCTAGAAGCCAGAATATTTAGCTAAAGTTCCATCCAAAGGATTTTCCAGGAGAGATGCTACTTTCTCCATAAAACTTACTCCAAATATTTCAGTCCATAATGATGTTTCCATTCTCAGCTCCTAAAACACCAAAATCTTCCCTGTCTGTAGCACTCATTTGTGCCGTTAACCATGGGTTTCTCTTTGACTATTTCATGTACAACTATAAGCTATAGCTATAAGCGATTATGTCTTAAAACTTCTCCTATATCATACAAAGTAGCTTAGAAATATATCATCTCAATCACATGCTAGCAGGTAGTAGGAACTTATCAAATAAATATTTATTTGATTTAGTTGAATTCCTTTTTCTACAACTCACATGTGGAATACTTTGTACCCACTTTTCTACTGCACTGTCATACATGAACTCTCTCAACTACTTTGTTTGCCACCAATGGCCATTTGTCAAAAGATATAGGGAAGGAAAACAGACTGAGAGCTTCTCAAAGGCACCTATATTCCTCAAGTCTTCAGTGCCCTGGTATAATGCTATGCATTAATTGGCACTCAAATAATTATTCATTTAACAAATACTTACTGAACATATCTTATGTTGAAATCACTATGTAAGGGATATATGAATATAAGACATGTCCTGCTTTCTAGGAATTTCTAATCTAGCCAGAATATGTACACAAATAACTACACAAAAAGGTAGTAGATGATAAACACCAAACAAGTTTGGGGTTAGGTAATCAAGAAAGGCTTCATGGATGAGATCAGATTGGAACTAGTACTCCAACTACCAATACAGCATAGTGCCACTACACTATGGAACAATTACCCTTAGGGATTTATTTCCTCCTTCGTGAGTCTTAAATAGAATAGGTTTTTATACATATCAGATAGTTTAAATGGATTACCTCCTAGAAGCTGGGAGTTAGACCAGAGGATTTCTTAAGAACCTAGACCCAGGATTCTATTTTTAAAAATTATACCTATTTCTTCATGAAGGGGTTTTTCCTATTATCGTTTGCTTTTCTCTCTCTCAAGTTTCAAAGCCTTAGAGTAGGGATTATGCCTTTCTTTAAACAGTACTAAGAACACTTTCAGTATGGAGAAAATATTAAGCTCTCAACCCATTACACTTAAAAAAACAAACAAACAAACATGGGAATTAAGAGAAATCATAAGCATTCCTTCCAGTCAGGCTCATCTCTTTCTGATAATTTTCCCAAATCAATTTTTTAAAAATACATATGCAATTTGATGGATTAGTCAGGTCAAATTAAAACAAACTAGTAACTAGTGAAATGTGTAGCTGTGGACAGAGCCTAGCAGAAGACATTCAGAAGAGGCAGGAAGAGAGAAAGGGTAATGGTGGAAGAGGGGGAGAAATGGCTGAAACGGAGCTAATTACAACAGAATCCAATTAAAAGTCCTTTCAAGAGGAAAAAAAAAACCATCATGGAAAAAAGATTGTGAAAATCAAATTTTCCTTCTTCCCCATCCCTTCCCCCATTTTAATGATGCTCAAGGCTCTCCAATGACAGAACCTATTAATAACACAGATAATTATGTGCCACAAGTTCCCAGGTCCTTTAGGCTTTTCATAAACAAATGTTAGCTAAGTTGCTATAAAAGAAAATGCAAATATAAAGAATCAACTGCACATCCTGAAACACTATAATAGGCTTACCTTCTTAACTTACAGAAACAAGTTTTGATACTCCTGGCAAATTTAAAGTATGTGGCATTTGTCATTTCTCAGGTCAATAAAGGAGATTATCTGCAGGTTTTTAGTCATCTCAACCCTAGAATATTTATGGAATATTCATAGCTTACAAGGTCTTGAACTCAGTGTTATACTTGTGCCAGAAACAAAAACAAGAATCTCAAGAAAGAAATGTAGTTATTGAAAGACAATGGCATAATGAAATAAAAAGGGAAGAAAAGAAAATATGCTAAATATTACTTACACTTCCAGCCCAAAGTTCAGGTGATCTTCCTACTAATTTGTAATAGACATACACAGCTTCCCCTTCTTTGAAATTTACAAATCGGCAGTCTGGACCTGTGAAATCCTGCAGAGCTCTACCCCGGTACATCAACACTGTCAGAAGAAAGCAGAAGGACCAAGCATCACTAGTAGCGCTTCACACTTCTGTTTGTGTTTACATTCCATGGGGAATCTGAGAACACTTTGTAGATGTGAATTGTTTTCCAACTACTTGTAGATAAAACCACCTACAGTAAGGTTCTTAGTAGCACTTGAGGTTTTAAGATTGTTTTTTGTTTTGTTTTAACATTCATAACAACTCTTGATAGGTAGACAGTTTACATCAGGTAGTACTAATTCCGTTCTGTGGGTGGATGGCAAAGAAACCTAGAGAAATTAAAATGATTTGGACAGTACTCGTAGCTCCCTAATACCCTAATCACTGAACTTTCCCATTTTATGTCTACAAAAATGTTCATTTCACAGACTGAGGTATAAAGAAATCAAATTACTTACCAAGGCCACACAAAGAGTTGGTAACTGAGCTGTGAAGAAAACCTGAATCCCAAGGACTAATTATCTTGAACTATTTATTAGAAGGCACACTACCTATAAATGGACAAAATTCCTACTATGCAGCACTAAAAATTGATGATTATATTTGCAGCAAAGCTGTGCTCCTTGAGCAAATTATCTGGAAAGAATGGCTTTGAGGTGCCAAGTCTTTGCCAAATAAGTCTATGGTTTTGATCATAAAATAAGAAAGACATGCCTAAAATGAAAAGTTTTTATGAGAAATAATGCAATTTTAAATAAATCAAACACCAAGTTTAATCAGAATTTAAAAGGAAAGAAAATTAGCAGATAGAGGGGAGCTAAGTGGCACAGTGGATAGAGTGCCAGGCCTGGAATCAAAAAGACCTGAGTTCAAATCCAGCCTCAGACACTTACTAGCTATGTGATCCTGGACAAGGCACTTAACCCTGTTTGCCTCTGGTTCCTCATCTGTAAAATGAGCTGAAGAAGGAAATGGCAAAACCACTCCTGTATCTTTGCCAAGAAAACCCCAAATGGGGTCACGAAGAGTTGGACATGAGTGAACAACAACATAAAGTAGAGAAGCTGACATCAAAACAGCATTATGAAAAAAAGTCATTGTTGGCAGACACTAAGGGAAAATTTAGATACAAAATCAGAGCATTATATGGATCTGAAGCTGGAAGGAACCTCAAAAGCCTTATTATAGGATAGCCCCTCTCATTTTGCATGTTTAAACTGAGACCCAGAAAGGTTGGGACTTGCCTAAGGTCACATAAGTGTTAGACACAGGACTTGTCATAAATTGCTCTAACACTGAGCAGCCTAAAGAATAAGGATTTAAATCAGGCAGGGACTCAAATCTGAGTTGGTATTTTTATTAGTCACTCCCCCACACATATATACGTACATATGAATATATGATATACATGTGTACATGTAAAAATGCACATACATATGCTATACTACAAATATGGGTATGTTTTATGTATGTGTATGCTATATCTTTGTATGTATAACTATACACATATACACGCTGGTATACATACAAACATGATTGCATATATAGTCACAAAACATGCTTATATTTGCAGCATAATGTAGTGAGAGAAACAGACTCTGAATCAGAAAACCTGGGTTCAAATCCCATCTCCAGAGGTACCGGTTGTAAGACCCTCTGCAAGTAAGTCTCTTAATTTCTCAGAATCCCAAGCAACTCTCTAAGACCATAAACTGCAGAATATTTCCTAATCTACACTGGTAGAGGAAATAAAATCATAGGTCTGAACAAAAAGGAAAAAAATTCCCAAACCCAAAATTAAAAATGCACCCACTTTTTTTTTTCCTAGTATAAAAAAGAGCCAAGAAATTGTTTACACAGTGGTTAAGGGGAAAGGGAGAAGAGGGGCAATGGAAAACACTCTATTCCTTTCCTAAGCATAGAAATTATCAAAGTTCTACATAAATTAATTTCTAACTATACTTTGGAATGAGACACATATATAATAACTTGGTTTTAAGATCTGTTCCAAAGAAGTCACTTGAAGGAACAGAAAAGGCTGACAGTTTCAATTTATTTCAAAGTCCCTAGGATTAACTTTTAGCAATTTGTTGGCACAAGTCGGTCTTTTAGTTGTATATTGACTCTGCTCACTTCTCTTCAGGAGATACAATAATTCTTGTATTTCAAGTTAAGAGAATTTTTTAAAGGTACCTGTATATGCCTCTTAAGAATATTTTCTTATTCATCCTTGCATATTATAAGGGCCAAGTTACTTCTCTTCTGGCACTTTGGTCAGCTAGTTACAAATCCATTTGTTAAAAGAGTTGTTGGCAGACAAACACAAATGTCAAGAAATACTCGAATATTTTGGAGTTTGCAAGAACAAAAGTGGGCGAAACTAAAGTTGCTTTAGGTTGTAATATTGGTGGATTCTTTGTTTTCTAACTCTTCAAAATTACTCATGACTATCTCCCTCCCCCCACCCCTCCCCCTTAGAGCTGACCAAAGGACTTAAATCAAAAACCCAGTTTTAACTAACTGCTTCAGCTTCCTTGCCTATAAAATGGGCTATCCTAGGAGTCGGGTATGAATGCTCTGGTCTCAAGAGTGAAAGATAGGACCTCCCCTGTGACTCGTTGGAGACGAAAATGTTTCACATAAGGACAAGATTCAGAGATCAATAACAAAAATGTAATGTGTATGCACGTGTAGGTAATCAGGGTTTGCCCTTTCATAAACCCAAAACACTTTTCAAAATACAGCTAAGTAGCAAACAATTCCGGCAAGACTCAAAGAGAGTGGAAAAAGCAGTCCATGAGACTGCCTTAAACCTAGCAACCCATCTGGTCCTACAAATGCAGCAAAGGAGATCTTTACAACAGTGGAAGGGCTGGAAGGCACTTTCTCCTAGCCTAAAGAACAAACACCGGGTTTTGAAAACCAACAAATCCCAAAGAGGACTTAGATGTTACGTTTATTATCTCTTGCTGGCGGACGAAAGGCTGGAAGGGGGTCCTATAGTTCAGAAGAGGGTGAGGGCACGTTTCTCCTGATCTCCCCTCTCTCGATTCGGGGGCAAAAAAACTTGCAACAAGTGGAAGAAGCCGGCGAGCTCGGGTGCCGCGGTGGCAGGCTGAGGCGGAGCTATGGAGACGCCCAGACCCAGGAGCAGAAAAACCGGGGGAGGGGTAGAGGGTACTTTCTTCTGCCTCCAGAAGCCAGAGCTGTTCCCTGGCGCCAGCTCGGCCTCCGGTCTCCGGCTCCCGCGGAGCACTGACCCTCGGAGCAGGCAGTTCGTCCGCCCCCCAGCCCCGCAACTCCGCGTGTCCCCCCACTCCTCGCCCCGATCCCGCAGACCCGGGCGCCCACTCACTGCTGCACTCCTCGTCCGAGCAGCTTTTCAGCTCCGCGAAGCGCCGGTCCCCGCTTCGGTTCGCTTGACCCAGCCGCGGCCCAGAGGAGAAGAGTAGAACGAGGAGACAGAAGGGCAGACGCGGCGCTGCAGCCATGTTGGCGGGGCTGGGGCTGGGGCTGGGGCTGGGGCTGGGGCTGGAGCTGGGGCTGGAGCTGGAGGGGTGATGGGGGCGGAGGGAGGCCCCGGGCGCGGGGGACTGCGATGGCGAGGCGGCGTGGAGGAGAGAAGAGAAGGCGGGGGCGAGCGGCGAGGTTAGGACCGGGGTTTGGGGCGGAGGGAGAGCATGAGCAGTGCCAGGCAGACACGTCAGCCGCGCAGGGGATGGAGAAGGATGGGAAGGGAGGGCTGGGGAAAGAGGAGAGGAGGAACCGGAGACCGGGCTGCATCTCTCAGGCCTAGGAGAGGGGCGGGGAAATGCAAGGGAGACCCCGCCACCTGGCCCTTTTTCCGTCATCTCTTCCTCGCCCTATCCGCGGCTCCTGCCGTGCTGTCTTTGTGCTGTTGGTTGCATCCCGCACTCCTCCGAGTTGGCCACCTCCTCTGCTTTAGCGTGGATCCTATCTGCGCCCTCCTTTACCCTCGTTCCGGCTGCGCTCCAGCTCTCCTCCACGCATCCATTGTCCTCCTTGCTCTCTCTCCTTCCACTCCCTTGTCCTGACCACTGTCATTCTTGACTTTAAAACAACTCCACAATCCCTCCCTTTACCTTTGTGTCTCCCACCCCCAGGCCATGCTATTTTACCGCATGGGGTAACTAAAAGGAGGAGGGATTTTGGAGGGTCTGATGTCGGTCTGGCTAGGGGCAGCTAGGTGGTGCGGTGAATAGAGCATCGGCCCTGGAACCTCAGATACTTACGAGCTAGTTGTGTGACCCTGGGCAAGTCACTTAACCCCCATTGCCCCCACCATAAAAAATAAATAAATTTTTTAAAATAAAGATTAGGATGCACAGAATACTCCTGAATATATGTTAAAATTGAATACTGAAAATTCGAGTGGACTGAGAATTCTAGGCTCTAAGCTTCCAGAGTACAAAGGATAAATTCATGATTAATTGATGAAAGGTTATAGTATACAAATACATATATGTATACAAATACATATATGTATATACACATATACATATATACACATGCATTAAACTATATACGTGTATACATATACACATATGTGATATGTGCATATTCTCGAAAGGAGGCATTGGTGATGTGACTGCACTTAGAGCTAGAACCTGGGTTTGTATTTCTGCTACTAATAACTCATTGTCTTAACTTTGAGTAAGTCACTTAAACTCTAGGCCTCAGTTTCCTCATCTGTTAAAATGAGAGAATTGAATTAAGTGACCTCTGAAGTACTTTCCAAATTTGAAATTATGATGACCTGATCATCTCTAAGGCCCCTTTCCAGCTGTGAATCCTATGACCTCAGACACCTTTTCCATTAAGCCAAGTCTTGAAGGGGGATAATATTAGTAAAATGTGCCATCAGAATTGGTCATTTTGAAACAAAACTAAAAGAAACCCTTGAAGAAATCAGCACTGTAACATCCTTTTATTACACTGATACAAGTAAGTAGCTTGTTAGCCCCTGTGTATTTACATATTCAACGAGTACCTAGTTCCAAGAACACACGTACTGTTGACTTAGGGTTAGGGTGGAAGTCTGGCAAATCATCAGAAATGTGACATTCATTTTTAGATAGAGGAAGTCTCTAATTTATAATCTGTACCCCCAAATTATGTAAGTCATTTCTTTGGAACTTGTAATTAATTTTTTCATATAAACAAATGGTGCTTAGAATAGCGTAGAAAAGTATGTTTAGCTCGTATTGTAGCTTTTTTGAGGGGCTTAGTGAAACTCTGTACGTATACAATAAAAAAAGTAGAAAATAATTCAGTCTAAACATTCATTAAGCATTTCATGTGCAAAACATTGTAGCAGACATAGAAGATACAGAAAGATGAGGCACAGGCCCTTGTCTCGAGAAGTTTATAAATCTAATAAGGGAAAAGACCAAAACTAAATAACTACAATACCAGGAAGACTGAAATGAGGAAGTGTCTATAGTGGAAAGAGCATTGAATCTGGAGTCAGAGGAATAGGATTTAAATCTCGCCTCTTGTACTACCTATACCTGAAGCCTCAGTTTCAGTTTTCTCATATGTAAAATGAAGGGGTTGGACTAGATGGCATCTGAGATCCCTTCCAGATCTGTGAGCTGTGCCCCAACAGTACAAAAAAAAAAGTCTAGTCCAAATGTTACAAGAAATTTGAGACAGAAGAGATCCCTTTCACCTGAGGTGTTAGAGGCTTTAGGTAGCATCTGAATTGGACCTTGAAGAAAGGGCAGCACTTCAACAAATGAAGAAAGCTTGACAGGGAATCCATTCCAGGCATGGGGGACAATATCATCAAGGCATGGAGATATAAGGGACAGAATAACAGTGGAGAATAAAGAGCAGTCCAGTATTTTTCATGTAGACTGCATGAAAGCTACTTATAGGTAGTGGTATGAAATAAGGCTACACAGGTTGAAACCAGATTGGGGTGGGTCTTCCCAGCTCTAGGTCAATCAATCAATCAATAAATAAATATTAAGCAAAAGTGCTGGTCTATTGATGTATCTAGATCTATGATTTAAATAGTTGAATTAGTTAAACTTTAGCTATAACTAAATACAATTAAAAGAAAAACTTAAAGAAATCAGCATTAGCTTGCCTTTTTCTTACAGTGATGTAAGTAGCTTATAAGCATCTATATATTTACTCATTCTACAAGTTAGTTTTATTTATGTTTCAATCTATGATCCTTTCACTGATAGAGTCAGATTATACTTTATTCCTTAGGCAATAGGGAGCCTAAGAAGACTTTTTTGTACAAAAATGCCATGATCATAGCAATGCATTAGGAAGATTACTTGAACATTGTTATATAGAGGCTAGATAGAGGAAAAGATGGGAAGAGGGGCAAGAATGCCAGTTAGGAGCCTATTAGAATAGTTTAGAGGACAAAAGAGGAGGACTTGAACTAGAGTGTTGCTGAAGGAGTTAAAAGCAAAGTCTAGAGAGGTATTAAGGAAGTTGAAAAGGCAAGATTTAGGTATGGGTGAGGGATAAAGAAAGAGTTTTGTCTTGACCCCAAGATTATGATGTTGCAGTGCTGCTAACGAAACAAAACAAAAAATAATAACACCGAATAAGATCATTTTTAAAAATTCAACTTGAATACTGTTTCATGATTGAGGAAGTAATTTTAATTAGAGAAGTAGGGAAACTTTTATAGTGTTTCCAGAGACTTCTGAACACTCTTAAGGGTTTTAAAAGTTGTTGACATTAGTTCATCATTATACCTGTTTTCACTTAAAAACCTATAGTTTTTGTTTTCTTTGACATAGGTATATGATTTGCACTACTCAAATGATTATCAACCATGGTTAGTATTGACTTTTGGCTCATAAATGTATAATGTATATGAATGGAGCAATGCATAGACTGTATGATATAAAACAGCTTGTGCATATGGGGCATGGATAGATAGATATATCTGATCTGGGATTGTGATTTCAACTCTTATGGGCAGTAGGAGGTGCACTGTGGTTGTACTACTAGCAGTAGCTGAAGGAGGGAGGGGCAGCATGGATCTAGGATAGCTGTGGTTGGACAATCTTTCACTTTTCTATATCCAAGAGGATTGCTGGGCTAGAATTATATCTACTGCTCATACCTTATAGGTATGATTCTTTGGGGGTTCAAGATTAATAGGACTTCACTTGAATGGGAGGGAGCTAACAGCTAGCTTACTTTTGTCAACTTAGCTCCCTTCCACCAAACACTTAGTATACAAAAAAAATACCAGATAATGAGCAAACAGTACCCAAGTAAACAGAAATTAGAAAAAGTATACAGACTAGTGTGGGGAAAAAATACACAAGAATAGATGAGCTCTCGTTTATATCAAACTGCATGCCTTCTCAAGGAGGGGGGAATAGAGGGAGGAGGGGAGAGAATTTGGAATTCAACATTTTTTTAAAATGAATGTTAAAATTGTTTTTACATGTAATTGGAAAAAAAATAAACTATAAAAATTGAAGAACAGATGAACTCTTGGATTGGAAGTGAGATAAACTCTTAGCTTAACCAGGGAAAGCCTACCAGCAGGGAAATTACTTTTAGCAATCTCAATCTAGGATTACAGTGGCTAGAAAACAAAGGGCATTTTGAGAGATGACTTCTCCACTTCTGTAGCTCAATTCAATTCAATTCAATAAAGTTCCTTCTATGTGCCAGGCACTGTGCTAAGAGCCCGGGATACAAATAAGAAAAATCCTAGCCCTATAGAAACTTATAATCTAATGGGGAAAGCCAACAAATCAAGGGGCAGGTAGGTGATGCAGTGGATAGTGCCAAACCTGGAGTCAGGGAGACTCATCTTCCTGAGTTCAAATCTGGCCTCAGACACTTAACTAGCTGTTTGAGCCTGAGCAAGTTGCTTAACCCTATTTTCCTCAATTTCCTTATCTATAAAATGAACTGGAGAAGGAAATGGCAAACCAGTCTAATATCTTTGCCAAGAAAACCTCAAATGAGGTCATGAAGAATTGGACATGACTGAAAGCAACTAAACAACAATAACAATACACTAAAAGAAACTGGTAAACTAGGGGGTAGGAGTAGGGCACAAAGGAGTACCCCGTTCCATAGAGTTGAAAGCCAGGCAGCTGATAGAAAACAGGAGATACCAGGGAGGTTGTGAGTCCTCTATAAAGGAAGGTTTTGGGAGGAGTTTAATTCTCTGCCTTCTACCCCTCCAATCAGAAAGGAGAGGCGACTGAGGGTGAGTTGAGAAAATATAGAATATCAAAACATGAGTCTTTCTTTGTGCTGATAAGATTTCAGATGATCAGTTTATGCTGGGATGGAGTGGGGGAGAGGACATATTATTCCATGGAAGAGAGGGAAACTGAACAGCAGATGAAAAATGGAGTTAGACCTCTAAAAAAAAGGAAGGTTTTGATAGGAGTTTAGTGCTCCACCATCCAGACCTCCAGTCTCCCACCAGCACTTCAAAAATGAAGGCAATGGGGTATAGAAATCTATCCTGCCCTACAGGAAAATAGAAGAGGAAGAAGATAAGAGAAGGGGGGTGGGGAGGAGATAGAAGGGAGGGCAGATTAGGGGAAAGGGTATTCAGAATGCATGCTGTCTTGGAGTTGGGGGAGGGATGAGATGGAGAGAAAATTTGGAACCCAAAATCTTGTGGAAGTGAATGTTGAAAACTAAAAATAAATAAATTAATGAATCTTTTAAAAAGATGGCTATCTAGGGGCAGCTAGGTGGTGCAGTGGATAGAGCATCCACCCTGGAGTCAGGAAGACCTGAGTTCAAATTTGGCCCCAGACACTTGATGCTTACTAGCTCTATGACCGTGGGCAAGTCACT